AAACAAAAAAAAAAAAAAAAAAAAAAAAAAAAAGTAAATTAATTAATAAAAGAATGGGGCAAAATGTTGGCCTTGGTAGGTGCTCTATTTGAAGTACCTGAGAAGGACACACACACAGATGTCCACTAAGGAAGTCAGATTGGAACTGAGGTGAAAAGTCCTGCTTACAAGTAGAAGTTTGTGGAGCTATTGGCATAGAGGTGGTAAAGATTTGTTAGTGGGTAGAAATCACCCAAAGAGAGAACTTGAATACAGAAGAGAAAGAGGGCCAATGTCAGAACTTTAGGAGTATTCTCATGGAGGGTGGAGAGCCTTGCAGTGTAGTTCAGTAAAAGAATAGAGGCTCAGGAGGGGAGAGGTTGGTGACAGACTAGCTCTGTGACCTTGGGCAGTTTGCTTTATGTCTCTGATGCTAAATCTTACCTTTAAAATGGTATGATAATACTTAACTTTCAGAGCTCTGTAGAGGATTAAATATGACTATGTGTTTAAAATACCCAGCAAGGTATTAAGGTATTAAGAGCTCATAGTAGTAGTATGGGGTGGGGATTAGTCAGATTTAATGAATTGTTCAAATTGGTTTTGTAGCAGACACTTCAGACTGGTTTTTTAAATTGTGTATGGGATAATAAGAATTTTTTGAAAACTTGCCTATTATGAAGAGAGGTAAGAGAGATATAGAAGGGCATTTAGGTAAATATAGGTCATTTATAATTTACTTACAATACTAATATTTACTGAGCATTGTGTGTACCAAAAAGTCTTGTATACTTTCTATGCATTATCTCATTAAATACACACAACAACCCTACTGTTAACTATTACCCTCAGTTTACAGAGGCAGCTTAGGGAGGTAAAATGACTTACAAGTAGTAGGATTAGTGGTTGTTGTATTGACAGTTAATAATTTTTAAAATGTAATTTGTTATTAATCAAGCAAAACTTGTACCTAACCACACGGACAACACACTGCTTCACATGTCTACCGTATGGGATAACTAGTTGCGTGTTGGAATGTGCTATATTTACTGAATGATAAAAACATTTAATAGGGCATTTAAACTGTTACCAACTTTGTCTCCTGTCTATGTTTCTAACCTCATTTGTCCAGAATTTACTGTACCTCAAGCATGCCTTGCACTGTCCTGCCTGTGCTAGGTTCTTTCCGCTACCTAGAAATCCTCTCACTTCCCCACTATCAGTTTACTCCTGCAGAAATCCTTACAAGCCACCAAGTAATGTCTTGAAGAGAGAGTCTGGTCATCTGACTTGGTTTTGGTCTCCAGTTTTCTCATCTTCCTTTGTTGCCTTCACTGAGAGTATTTTATCAAAGCGTATTTATGAATTGCTTTCTTGACTACTCTCTCTGATGAATCGTCCTGCTTATTCAGTCAGGAGTGTGAGATTCTGAGGCTTTCAGCCAAACTTGCCTCTTCCAGGGAGGAAGAAGCTTACCTAACATAACCCCTCTAACCATAGCCAGGAGAAGATGACACATGAGGTGTGAGGGATGTAGAGCTGCCTTCCTAGGCCCATTTGCAGGCAGAGCAGACAGGCTCAGTTGCATGGTGAAGGCTGCGTCTCAGAGAGAAACCCTGCCACCTCCTGGTTGGTGCTGAGAAAGCAGAATTAAAATTGCAGTTGCCACTGGAGTATTTTTGGGGTGATGGAACTATGGTGTTTGACACATAATTTTATGCATCTGTCAAAAGCTATAGAACTGAGCACCACAAAAGAAGTGAATTTCACTGTATATAAATTTTTTTTAACCAGTGTGGTGGGCAGGGGTGGAGAGAGACTGTAGCATTTAGCAAATGAGTCTAATATTACAAATAAATCACATAGCCACACTGAAGGGAACGAGGAAGAAAGGAGCTGGCCTTGGAAAATGGTGTTTTGACTGTATACTCTTAAAACTGAAGACAAAAAGAACTGTATACAAACAAAGCACTCTGGTTTACAAATTTGATTCTCTCAAGGTTATGGTTTAGGAATTCTTTCACTACTTTGTTTGTATACTAGGGTTGAACAAATAAGGAAATAAACTGTTGATAATGAGAGTTGGGTTTCTCACATCAGGGAAAGAAGTTATAAACCAGGAAAGGGGAAGGCTAGAATGAAACCTCTGGTACTAGATTGGAGTCAGAGGTTATTGTAATATGGACTCATGTTTAGATAGATTAAAAAAATATAGATGTGTGTGTAGATACATGAGTTGGTATGCATACATATATTTCCTAGCTCAGCCATTGAGAAGGGCTAGAAGCAATGACACCCCCAATAGTAACGAGCACACCTAGCGTCCATATCTTGGTTTCTAAATATCAATAAAAGGAATCAGAAGTCCTTGGAGAACTGGTTGATTTTAGGGCTGAGGCGGGGAATATATAAGATGAGTCTGGAGCATCTTGTGGTGCCGGAAGAAGGTGATATATATATATATATATATATATATATATATATATATATATTAGTTTATAACCCAAAGAATAAAATAGCCATGAGTTCATACTGATAAAGTGAACTGAATAAATAGAGGAATGATGATTCTTCCTTACAGAGAAATTCCAGTAAGTGTAGAAAAAATGAGGGAAATAGGGCTTCCCTGGTGGCGCAGTGGTTGAGCGTCCGCCTGCCGATGCAGGGGACGCAGGTTCGTGCCCCGGTCCGGGAAGATCCCACATGCCACGGAGCGGCTGGGCCCGTGAGCCATGGCCGCTGAGCCTGCGCGTCCGGAGCCTGTGCTCCGCAACGGGAGAGGCCACAGCAGTGAGAGGCCCGCGTACTGGGGGGGGGGAAAAAAATGAGGGAAATAGAAAATCACCATTAGAACACCATAGTAGTTGCTATAGGCAAGATCCACTGATGGATGCTAAAATAAGAGAGCATGGGTTTAAACAGAAACAGAATATGTAGAATAGTCTCAGAATATTTAGTAATTACGAAGAGAAAAATAGTACATTTCAGTAGAGAATTCTGACAGATATCACTTTAGCCAAAGGATGAAGAGTAACATCAGTGTGTTTACATTGACGTCATGTACCCCCTGATATGGTCACTAAGAAGGGCACACATATACATATGCACATATACACACACAGGGATGGATAGATTTATCCCCAGTTTCATCATGAGAAAACATACAAGCCCAAATTGAGCAATATTCTTTAAAATAACTGGCATTCTACAAAATACTCTCCATAAGTGTCAAGGTCACAAAAGATAAGGAAAGACTAAGCGACTGTCACAGATTGGAGGAGACTACGGAAACATAACAGCTACATGCATTGTGAGATCCTGGATTGGATTCTGGAACAGAAAAAGGACATTAATAGAACTGGGAAAATCTGAATAAAGTCTTTGGTGAATAGTGTTCTACCAAGGTTAATTTTCTAGTTTTGATGAATGATCTATGGCTGTGTAAGCTTAGTTAACAGAAAGGGAAGCTGGGTGTAGAGTATACGGGAATTCTCTGTACTGTTTTTGCAATTGTTCTATAAATCTAAACTTAGCCTCAAATTTTTAAAAATTAACTGGTAAAAAATACAGCTGTCATGTGTGAGCCTACACTCAGCCTATGCCCCCCATCTCTGCACATAGATAGCTTTTCAGACCTTGAACTTGGCTGGTCAGGAAATTAATTAGCAAAGCGATGAGGGAGATTTAAATAAGTGTGGTGAGTAGAGGCTGGCTGGGCCCTTTCTGTCCATCCCCACTACTACACCAATACCCCGGAAACACATCCTCCTCACACATCTTGCAGTCTTTAGGCAAAGTCGGGCTCCTCAGAATGATTCTCAAGACCTCTGGCATCCCTTCCCTCTCCCTCTGCTGCTCTTGCCACATAATCCAGGTCTCCAAGAACTTGGGGATATTTCATGTTTTGGGGGCTTTGCACATTTGGTTTCACCTTCCTGGAATGTTCTACCCCCTCTTCTTCACCTGACTATATATACTTTTCATTCTAGACTCAGCTTTTATTTGTAACATCCTCTAAGATGGCTTCTCTGACACCACCCCCCACCATATAACCTTTTTGTGCTTCCATCGCCCTTTTTTGCTCTCTGTATAACGCTGATCACCTTGTGCTCTTTGTCTGTGTATTTGTCTGTTTCCCCCACTGCCCCCATTATTAGACAGTGATCCTCTCATGGGCCATGACCAAGTCCTGCTTTTCTCATGTCCCAATTAGTGTAGGATGCTTCCTGGTTTGATGAATTGACTGTGGTGGTGGGGAGGGCAGGGTAGGAGGTGGGATGGGGGAAATATTGTTAAAATCATCAGAGGCAAGAGGAAGCTACACTGAGCCACATGGGGAATTCATATCAGTTAAGTAATTATGTGAAAATACTTAAAATTCTCATAACTTTGTTGTCTCATAACTTGCTAGATAACTAGTTCAAAAGTGAAAAGGTTAAGGAAAGCTTGGAGGAGGTTGCTGTTTGTAGAATGACATTGTTGAGACAGTGATCCTGTGGCATCATTGCCGTATCACTTTTCCAGGATAAAAATGGAGCACCGAGAAATCTCAAGGAGAGATAATATTTGAGCAGAATCTTGAAGGAATAGAAGTTCAAGCTCCTTACAAACTTAAAGAGCTTTGTAAAAATGGCTCCCCCTTCTGTCCCTCTCTCTTCTTCCGTGTGTGTGTTCTTAACTATTTGGGAGTAAGTTACAGATTTCATTCTCCTTTCCTTCTAACATAACCACAGCACTATTATCAAAATCAGGAAATTTAACATGACATAATACTATTAACTAATTGCAGACCGTATTTAGATTTCACTTGTTATCCCAGTGTCCTTTGTAGCAATTTCTATTTTCTAATCTAGGAGCCAGTCCAAAATCACACATTATATTTAGTTCTTAGGTCTTTTTAATCTCCTTTTATCTGAAGTAGTTCCTCATTCTTTTCTTGTCTTTAGTAACATTGTCAGTTTTTAAGAAAACAAATCATTTATTTTGTAGACCGTCCCTCAATTTGGGTTTGTCACTTTCCTCACAATTAGGTTGCGGTTATGCAGTTTTGGCAAGAATGCCACAAAAGCATGTTGTGTCCTTTTAGTGCATCCTATCTAGAGCACATGGTGTAAGTTTGTCCCATTATTGGTCATTTTAAGTTGAGTCACTTAGTTAAGGTGGTGTCACTTGGGTAACGTGGTGGTGTTAGATTTTTCCACTGTGAAGTTTCTTTCTCAATAGAGGCAGCAACACGTGCAGAGGCAAAACTGTTGTAAAACAGCATGGCATGTTCAAGAACTAACAAATAGTTCTCTGTAGGTACAGTGTAACATTTTTGGCTAAAGATGAGGATGGAGAGTCCCATAAGAACCAGATCACAGAGGATCTTGAATGCCAAGCTAGGGAGCTTGTATTTAATTAGCCCATAGACCACAGGGAAGCACCAGTGGATTTTGAACAGCGCTTTGATGTAGTTAGCTTTGTGTCTTTCTACCTTTCTGGTTTCTGGGTTTGGTTGGCTACCCAGGCCTAAGCAAGTGAGGAATAGTAGTTCTAGAGCAGAAAATGAGTTCTAGAGCAGAAAATGAGTTCTGGAGCAGAAAAAGTATTTGTGCTTCCTCTGAGTAGATAGAAGAACCATAGCTGGTGCCATTCTCTTAGGCTTAGACGAGAGGTGCAACAGAACTGTTCCTGTGATCCTATACCCAGAAGCCCTTTGTTCTGTTGTTTTGTTTTAATAACTTCACTACCAGAAGACTCTCAGCCCTGCTGAAAAACTTGCTCTTAGCTCAGTGTAGCATCAAGAAACAAGCACAACTTTAGAATCAGAAAACCTAAATTGAAATCCCAGCTCTGTCAGTTCTTCGCTGAATAACCTTGAGCAAGTCGCTTTTCCTCTTTTTCGTTTCCTCGTGTCTAAACTGCATAGGATAATAATAATGTATATACTTTTTAAGGTTGTTGTGAGGATCAAATGCAATCTCATGTATCTGAATATAAGTTTTAAAATATGATCCAGGTTCTTAACAGAGGCACTGTGACATGTGGTATTGCTGCCCACACCTCAGGCAGTATCATGCCGTCTTAACAGATGTTACCATCAATGATTAAACCAGTTGTTTATGTTCTTCTTTAAATTATATTTTTGAAAAAATAAAAGTTAATTTTCAAACAGAATTTTTATCACTTCAGTGAATGGCAAATCAGTATTTTTAATGCACATTAGGATAAATGTATAATTAAGAGTTTAAGCACCACCTAAAATTATGTTTCTCCAATGGGATGCACACACACTTCAGGAAATTGTAGTGGTGGAAAGAAGGTTGGTCTTAATCTGATAGTCTGGTTCTGATATTTAGTTTCTATCACCCTAAGCAAAATACTTCATTTTTCTGAGCATTAGAGTCATCTGTTCCGTGGGAGTGATAATACTAATACTCTCCTCATGGGTTAATTTTACCTATGATACTATCTAACACGTATAGGAGTTCCTTACTCCAGGTGGGGTTGAGGGACAACACGAGCTTTTAAATCTCAGAAGGTGAAATTGGCAAGATGTAAATCTTTAAGATTTGTGGCCCTTTAAACAAAAAGGAAAGCAAGTTGAGTTCCTTCCTCACCTCCAAGACACTGTGAAGTATCAAGTGAGAAATATTCAGTGTTCTATCTGCCAGTGACAGATCTTTGTTCTGTACCTGTGAGCTGAAGCAAAGATGTGTGAGATATCAGTATTGGAAATATGAGTATCTGAAGACTGTCATTGACCCTGGAACAGCAGAGGAGGAATTTTAAGGATGTTTAGAACTTGAAATAAGGTTGAAAGAGAGCTTCTAGACAACAACCAGCATGCATCTAGGTAATATATATCTAGCTATGTTTCTTGACCCAAACTCACAGCAGCCTTGTAAAGCAGACTGTTACCTCCTACTTCATATGCCAGGCCCTATGCTTGGTGCTTTAGCTAAATTATATATTATCCTCACAATACCCCATAAGACAGGTTCCAATAGCCCTCTTTATTCTTAAGTAAACTGAAGTTCAGAGAGATGAAAAAAACTTGTCTGTAATTACACAGACCTGGCAGAAACTGGATTTAGACTCAAGCTTGTCTAATTCTGAGTGTGTAATCTTCTAAGACTAAGAATAATGGCTGCTTTAAGGAAAATGAACTTCCTGTCAGCCTTTCAGTTACCACAGGTAACTGTTAGACTTGGATCCCTTAGCTTTTGAGGCAACCAGCCCTGCCCTAAGGACTTTACAGATTGTTCTTGTTAATTTTTTTTGGAGCCAGGTGTATTATAGCAAAGCTTGCTCTCACATGATGCCATTACTTCTCTGTTAATATTACCCTCTCCAAGCCACCTTCCGCAGTTGCCATCACAAAGATTTTTCAAATATGCCAACATGACCACATCCTCCCCTGCATTCCATCTTATCCTCAGGCTCCTCTGCTAAAGTCCATACTCTTAGCCTGGCATCCAAGGCTGTCTATGATCTGGCCCCAGTTGGCCTCTTCAGCCTTATCTCTTGCTACTCTTCTCTCCCTCTCTCCCTCGCTTCCTCTCTCTCTCTCTCTCTCTCTCTCTCTCTCTCTCACACACACACACACACACACACACGCTTACTTTCAACTTGAAGCTTTTCTGTATACTGTCCACTCAACCTGGAGCACCCTTTTCCTGCCTGCATAAATCATATTTATCCTTTAAGACTCGGTTCAGAAGTTATATTTTCCAGAAAGCTTTGCCAGACACCAGAACCCTTCTGTAATTGCAAATCAGGGGTTCCTTGTCTGTGCCCCTGTATTAAGTGCTCTGTAAACAATGATGGTAATAGTGTTAGTAGTTGTTATTCTTAATGAGGCTGGTCTGCTTTTTATAGTTAGGAAATGCTAAATAGCTTCTTTTTGTTGAATTACATGAGTGGGAAATCAACTGCAAGGGAGCTCTACTGACTGCCTTTGTAGAAAAGAGCCAATGAGGTCAAAATTCTGAGTAATTAAAAAGCAAAAAACCTGTTTTCCTCATCCTGCAAATTAGTCTCAAACCTAAACTAGAAATAAAAAATATTTTATTTAAAAATGGGAGTATTCTTTTTATCTCCCCCACCCACCGCCCCCTTGAATTTATCAAGGCTTTCAAATGCATTGTCTTGGTGGGATATTTGTAACTGTAGGACTATTAATAAGGCTTTCATCTTTGTTGAGCATATTGAATGTATACAGTGTGTTTAGTGTGTATCCAGTGCCTTGGGGGCCAAAAAGTATCTGCTGCCTATGAGCTGGCCTGGAATGATGGAAAGAATATGTGCTTTGGGTCCAGAAAGATCTGTGTTTTAATCTTAGCTTCACTAATTACTACCTTATGCTTTTGGCCAAATAAGTTCTCTTTTTGTGCCTAGACTTCCGTGGGCATGCTTCTTACTGTCTTAACTTATGTTTCCTTCCAGCAATCAGAGAAGATGGCATGCCTGGAGGCCGGAATAAGAGCATTGGGCCAGTCCAGGTGAGTTCTAGGTCTTACTCTTTGTGATCTACCCTGAAAGCTCAGGCCTCCAGATGCTCCTGTAGCTGCTCACCTTGATCCTGTTATCTGCTGCTAGGGGGAGCCATCTTTACTTTCATTCCTGTAAAACTGCTTTTAGAGCCTGGATATGAAAGTGCTTTGAAAATCTTAAATATATAAGATAATGGTTAAAGCTCCACTTGTGATGCCTCAGCTCTTCCTAAGGAGTTTTACAGAAGATGAATCCAATTCTGGTTCTAAAGCATCCAGAGGATTTTTTTTTTTTTTGGCCACGCCACGCAGCTTATGGGATCTTAGTTCCCTGACCGGGAATTGAACCCAGGCCCTCTGCAGTGAGAGCGCAGAGTCCTAACCACTGGACCACCAGGGAATTTCCCAGAGGACTTTTTATGTCAGTCACTTAAGGTTGTAGTTACTTAGCCTGGCAGAAATCATCAAGACTACTTTGCTGTTCAGTATCACTAAAGATATTTCAGCAGAAAGTTCATTGATTGCCTGTTTGTAAAGAAGGGAAGGTAATACCCATTCAGTCCCACAAACATTTACTCAGTATTACTTACTCTGTACCAGGCCCCCTGTACTGTAAATTCAGTGTAGTGGAAAAGACAGATATGTGAACAGACATCATAATACAGTGGGTGATGACAGAGGTTGCCCAGGGATTACAGAAAGAAGGGGCTTCTTTTCTGTATGGACCAGAGCCATGGTTGAGGACTGAAGACACTCAGGAAAGGCTTCCTGGAGAAGATAAAGTTTGAACTGAGTCTTCAAGGAAAAGGAAGAATTAGCTATGTTGAGAAGGGGTGGAAACCCAAGCAGCTTTTATTCCTGCTAGACAGAATAGACTATAAAAGGAATCTTCAAGGAATGGCAAGGAGTTCATTCACTCAGGCTAGAGCACTGGGCACATGTTGTGAAGTGGCAGGAGATAAGGCAGATTCCTTGAGTTTGGAATCAGTTCTCTAAAAAGTGGCCTTCAACTAACTTTGATTATAGCTCCTTCAGTAAAGCCTTTGTGGGGCCAGCCTGCATCGCTTGTTCTTACTTGGCCAGCAGAAGAACTTCATCATGATAGAGAATTGGATTTGCTTACGACCCATGAAGTGAATCCTTCAGTACCCTAGTGGGCAGGGACCATGATTCAAGAATTATGGGAGTAGACCAAGAGGCAACTACTAAAAGGTTTTAAGTAGAAAGAGGGATATGGTCTAATTTGCATTTTGGAAAGATCATTCTAGCCGTGTAAATTGTTTATGAGGAGCTGGGTAAGGGTCAGTGAAACTGGTGGCAGAGAAAAAGCAGTTAAAAGGGTTTTACAGAAGTCCAGGCGAGAGATATAGACAGTGTGGTTTCAAGTAGGACAGTGATAGTGCAGATTGAAGAGAGGGAATAGATTCAAGAAATGTTTAATAGGTAAAATTGATAGGATTTATCCAATTGAATGTGAGGGAATGAGAGAAAGACAGGAATTCAGAGTTGGTTTGAGACAACACTGATGATGTATGAGAGGGTTTTCTGTCACATGAGCTTGGTACACATATGCACTCAGGTGTGGGTTGTGTGCTGCATTCATTCTCTTTTTTAAATCAAACATTTTTATTCATTTATTCAAGTCATATGTGTTTCTTGCAAATTAATTTCGGTCTCCATTCATAGCTGCTCTTTTTTGTGTGGTAAAAAACATGTAACAGGAAATACACCTCCTTAACAAATTGTGAAGTATACAGTACAGTAGTGTCAACTGTATGCACATTCCGTACAGCAGATCTCTAGAACTTCTTAATCTTATCACTGAAACTTTATACCTATTGAACAGCAACTCCTCATTTCGTCCTCCCCCCAGTCCCTGGCAACCACCATTCTACTTTCTGCTTCTAAGAGTTTGACAACTTTTGATACCTCATATAAGTGGGATCATGCAGGACTTGTCCTTCTGTGACTGCCTTATTTTGCTTAGCATAATGTCCTCAAGGTTCATCCATGTTGCAGCATATGACAGGATTCCTTCTTTTTTTTTTTTTTTTTTTTTTTTTTTTTTGCTGTATGCGGGCCTCTCACTGCTGTGGCCTCTCCCGTTGCGGAGCACAGACTCCGGACGCGCAGGCTCAGCGGCCATGGCTCACGGGCCCAGCCGCTCCGCGGCATGTGGGATCTTCCCAGACCGGGGCACGAACCCGTGTCCCCTGCATCGGCAGGCGGACTCTCAACCACTGCGCCACCAGGGAAGCCCAGGATTCCTTCTTTTTTAAGGCTGAGTAATATTCCACTGTATGTATATAGCACATTTTTTGTTTGTTTTTGCTTTGTGTTTTTTGTTTTTAATTTTTATTGCAGTATAGTTGACTTTATGATGTTGTGTTAGTTTCTTCTGTACAGCAAAGTGAATCAGTTATACATATACATATATCCACTCTTTTTTAGATTCTTTCCCCGTATAGGTCATTACAGAGTATTGAGTAGAGTTCCTAGTGCTGTAGAGTAGGTCCTTTTTAGTTATCTGTTTTATATATAGTAGTGTCTATATCTCAATCATAATCTCCCAATTTATCCCCCCCCATTCCCCCCGGTAACCATAAGTTTGTTTTCTACATCTGTGACTTTATTTCTGTTTTGTAAATAAGTTCATTTGTACCATTTTTTAAGATTCTACATATAAGTGATACCATATGATATTTTCTTTGTCTTACTTCACTCAGTATGACAGTCTCTAGGTCCATCCATGTTGCTGCAAATGGCTTTATTTCATTCCTCTTTTATGGCTGAGTAATATTCCATGAGTAGTATGTACCACACCTTTATCCATTCCTGTGTTGATGGACATTTGCTTCCATTTCCTGGCTTTTGTAAATAGAATATAGCACATTTTGTTTATCTATTCATCCATCGATGGACATTTTAGGTTGTTTTAGGTTGCTTCTACCTCTTGGCTAAAGTGAACGTGGCCTTGGCTGCAGTGAGCATGAGAGTGCAGATATCTCTTCAAGATCCTGATTTCAACTCTTTTGGATAAATACCGAGTGGGATTACTGCGTCATATGATAATTCTGTTTTTAAGATTTTGAGAAACCTCCATACTGTTTTCCATAGTCGCCACACCATTTTATTGATATATTCTCACGCAAGTGCACAGGGTTCCAGTTTTCCCCATCCTCTCCAGCACTTTGTATTTTCTGGAGCTTTTTGTTTGTTTGTCTGCTTGCTTGCTTGCTTGTTTGTTTGATACTGGCTATCGTAATACGCATGAGGTGATTTCTCATTATGACTTTGATTTCCATTTCCCTGATGATTAGTGACGTTGAGCATCTTTTCATATGCCTGTTGGGTATTTGTATGTCTTCTTTGGAGAAATGTCTATTCAAGTATTTGCTGCTTTTTTAAAAATTAAATTTATTTTTGGCTGTGTTGGGTTTTTGTTGCTGCACGTGGGCTTTCTCTAGTTGCAGCAAGTGGGGCCTACTCTTCGTTGTGGTGCGCAGGCTCCTCATCGCGGTGGCTTCTCTTGTAGCAGAGCACGGGCTCTAGGTGGGCGGACTTCAGTAGTTGTGGCACGTGGGCTCAGTAGTTGTGGCTTACAGACTCTAGAGTGCAGTCTCAGTAGTTGTGGCACATGGGCTTAGTTGCTCCGCGGCATGTGGGATCTTCCTGGACCAGGGCTCGAACCTGTGTCCCCTGCATTGGCAGGCAGATTCTTAACCACTGCGCCACCAGGGAAGTCCCTAGTATTTGCTTTTTTTAATCAGGCTGATTAATTAGTTAATTGACTGTTGAGTTGTAGGAATTCCTTATATATTTTGAATATTAACCCTTTATCAGATATATAGTTTGCAAAATTTTTCTGGAAGTCGCCTGTTCGCTTTGTCGATTGTTTCCTTTGCTTTGCAGAAGTCTTTTAGTTTGATGTAATCCTATATTTCTATTTTTGCTTTGATGTCATATTCAAGAAGTCATTGACAAATTAGGGGTATGGGATTAACAGATACAAACTACTATATATAAAATAGATAAGCAACAGGATAATACTGTATAGCACAGGGAATTATACCCATTATCTTGTAATAACCTGTAATGGAATAGAATCTGTAAAAATACTGAATCACTATGCTATACACCTGAAACTAACACAGTATTGTAAATCAACTATGCTTCAATTAAAAAAAGAAAAGAAATCATTGCCAAGGCCAATGTCAAGAAGTTTTTTCTCTATGTTGTCTTTTAGGAGTTGTACTGTTTTGGGTCTTATGTTTAAGTCTTTAATCCACTGCGTTACTTTTTGCATATGGCATAAGGTAAAACTCTAATTTTATTCTTTTGCATATGGATATCTGATTTTCCCAACACCACTTGTTTTTTTTTTGTTTTTTTCTGCTGTACGCGGGCCTCTCACTGTTGTGGCCTCTCCCATTGCGGAGCACAGGCTCCGGACGCGCAGGCTCAGAGGCCATGGCTTACGGCCCCAGCCGCTCCGCGGCATGTGGAATCTTCCTGGACCGGGGCACGAACCCGTGTCCCCTGCATCAGCAGGCGGACTCTCAACCACTGCGCCACCAGGGAAGCCCCTATTTTATTCTTTTTGATACTATTGTAAATGAGATTGTTTTCTTAATTTTCTCTTCAGATAATTCATTATTAGCATATAAAAATGCAACTGATAGGCTTCCCTGGTGGCGCAGTGGTTGAGAGTCCGCCTGCCGATGCGGGGGACACAGGTTCGTGCCCCGGTCCGGGAAGATCCCGCGTGCCGCAGAGCGGCTGGGCCCGTGAGCCATGGCTGCTGGGCCTGCGTGTCCGGAGCCTGTGCTCCACAAAGGGAGAGGCCACAGCAGTGAGAGGCCCGCCTACCACAAAAAAAAGAAAAAGCAACTGATTTTCTGTGTTGACTTTGTATCCTGCAGCTTTGCTGAATTCTTATATTCTAATAGTTTTTTGGTGACATCTTTAAGTTATCTACATATAAGATCATATGTCTTCTGTGAACAGAGATAGTTTTACTTCTTCCTTTTTGAGTTAGATGCCTTTTGTTTCTTTTTCTTGCCTTTTGCTCTGGTGAGGCCTTCTAGTGCTATCTTGAATAGATGTGGTAAGAGTGGGCATCCTTGTCTTGATCCTGATCTTAGAGGAAAAACTTTCCATTTTTCACCACTGAGTATGATGGCTATGGGCTTTTCATATATGGACTTATTTGTATTTATTCTTTTTATACTTAGATACAATAGAAAGTTTATCCATTGGGAAGAATTCTTAAGCATTTCCTCAATGAAAAACCTTCTTCACTATTACCTAATGTTTTTTGAGTACCGTCTGTGGCTCTCTCACCATGCCAAGGGATCCTCGGTCATTTACATCTCCAGACTCTATGTTCTCTCCAGAATTGAGGAGGCTGATGCTCAGAAAAACCTATTTCATCTGTCATTGCTTTTGGGTTTTTGATACTGGGCACATAATTTTCCTTTTAGTCTTTTACTGTTTCTAGGTGGTGTGTTAGGAAGAGAGAGCTGTTTTCTCCAAGTTCTTAACTGTGTTTAATTGTAATTAAAAATAAGAAGTGGGCTTCCCTGGTGGCACAGTGGTTGAGAGTCTGCCTGCTAATGCATGGGACGCGGGTTCGAGCCCTGGTCTGGGAGGATCCCACATGCCGCAGAGCGACTAGGCCCGTGAGCCACAACTTCTGAACCTGCGCGTCTGGAGCCTGTGCTCCGCAACAAGAGAGGCCGTGATAGTGAGAGGCCTGCGCACCGCCATGAAGAGTGGTCCCCACTTGCCACAACTAGAGAAAGCCCTCGCACATAAACGAAGACCCAACACAGCAAAAATAAATAAATAAATAAACTCCTACCCCCAACATCTCGGGGAAAAAAAAGAAAAAGAAGTGATAGAATTTCCATTTATTGAGCACCTATTGTGTACCTTCACTTAATAACTTTATCTTAGATTAACCTCCCAAGTCTATCTGACTCAAACCTGTATGCTTCTTTGCTCTAGCACCCAGTGAGGGAATCATGAGCTATGAGGGAAGTGGTATTATCTCCATTTTACCAATGAGGGAGCTAAGGCTCAGAGAACTTGAGTGACTTGCCCAACAGTAAGTACCCAGCAAGGAAGTGACAGATGAGATTTACACCCAGATTCAAGCACTCCCAACAAGTTCCATCCCCTGTTCAATGCGTTAATGATTGCTTAGTATCCCATGAGACCCTCAGGGAGAGACAAGTACAGTCCAACTTTGACTTCCAGCTGGAATAAGCTTGATTTTACCATAACTGGCCCTTTTTACCAAGCTCAAGTACTTCCATGACCTCGACGTTCTGGTTTTGCTCTCACCACCATCACTGAGGCTGCACATTCGGGGCCTCAGTAGATGGCTTGTAATTTGATGGCAATTTGTCTTCATGTGTCTTGTAAAATGTAAACAATGATTTCAGTGTTCTAAGGACCTCTAAGAGAAAAGATTTGGGTTTTTTTTGCTACATGTGACTGAATAAAAAAAGACAAACCCTCTAATTCAATATGCAACCCAAACTATTTAAAACTAATCATTCAACTTGAGCACCAGTTAAACATTTCTCGTTTTCCCTCAAAGTCCTCTGTGTTGGCTAACTTCCAGTTCTAAATGCCTTTTTATATCTATGATTGGAGCAGCTCAAGGTTCCCTCACAGGCAAAGAAGTATGTAGGTTTGTGTCAGACAGACATGGGAGAAAATGTCCTCCCAGGCTTACCATAGGGACAAGAAACAAATTCATCTGGCTCTTTTTCCTTAGCACTCACTCTCATTCTGTGTGCTGACTTTAACCAGCTTGGCCTCAACTCTGGATTAAACACTTTAGAGAAGTGTGTGTCCACTCCCTATATGGCATAGTAGCTAGAGCACTGGACTGAATACTTGGCTACTTTGGTCTCTTCCTCAAACTCCTGCTCAGACATGGGCAGGTCAGTTTGCTTGTCGGAGCTACAGTTTCTTCTTTTATTCAGTAGGCTTAGAAATGTCTTTCTTACTAAGAGATCTCATGCAAAGGTATATAGTCAGTACTTAGTAGGTGGACATTTATTCATTTATCCAACATGCATTTATTTGAGTACTGCTTTTTTCTAGATCCTGTCATAGCCTAAGGTCTTACAGAGGATATTTTTATGAGACATTACCATAAGTGCTATAAAAATAACAATGATAATCAAGATATCATTGTCAGCCTTCCATAATAGTTGTTCTGTGCTAGGCCCTTTTCTAAACATGTGATAATATATTAATTAATTTAAATCTCAAAACAGTCCTATGTGATAGATACTATTATTCTCTCCACTATACAGATGAAGGAACTTAGGTTTAAATAGTTGTATGACTTGCCCAAGATTGTACAACTAGAAAGTGGCAGAACCTGGATTAGAACAAAGGTGATTTGAGTGTAAAATTCAAACTCTGAACCGTTATGGTATTCTGCCTCTCTCAGAATACACAGAATTATGAGTGGATAGAAGGAGAACCTAAAATTCTGTCTGCGCTTAGTAATAGAAGGATTCAAAAAGAAGCTGATATTTGAATTGGGTCTTAAATGGCAAGTAGGAGTTTGTTATTGAAGAGTGGTGTTTCAACGGCAGGAAAGAATAGACTAAGGACAAAGAGGAGTGTTGAGGAACCTAGAGGCTTTGTGGCTGGGAGGAGGGTAAATGGACAAAAGGAATGCCATGGTGAGCCATAGTGCTGGCAGGCAGGCAACCAAGCTGTCCTAAGATTAGTGAGAGAGAGACCTGGAGTATGTGGGTGGAGGGGAGGGAATTTGGCTTTCTCTCTAGAGAGTTCTAAGAATCCCCATGACGTTTAAATAAGTTCTCAGTCCTAAAGAAGGAACACCCAGTCTAACATATATCAATTCCTTGTCAAAGATATCAGAGGAAGAGATCGAAAGGATTATGTCTGGGCAGGAATTTGAGGAAGAGGCCACTCACTGGAGCAACCATGGTGACAGCGACCACAGTTCCCCTGGGAACAGGGCTTCAGAGAGCAACCAGCCCTCACCAGGCTCCACACTGTCCTCCAGGTGAGCTTCAAGGCAAACCCAACATCATCTAGGGATCACCCAAAGAATGGACCCACAAGCAACCTCTGAGCTGGGCTGGGTATTCCTGCCAGTCCGTCTCAGCCATTGTACTCTTGCTTCCTCAGTCTTTTGGGGTTGGGGTGACGATGATGCAAAGCAGCATTTTACAGCCCATTTTTTAGCTAAAGACCTTGAAAATGTCAGCAGTCTCTTCTGCAGATTGATAAAGTGCTATAGCCACTATCCGTGCCCATACATTCTTCACCTAACAGAATAACATTTTAATTGTAGCTCTTTCCTCTCACTTACTTTATCATTTTTAAAAAAAACCACATTGACAATATCGAATTAAGTTATCATTTCTCTGCCTCAGCAAGAGTGAAGATTTTTCACATTATAAATTTTAGGAAAAAGTGAAAACTTTTCAAGTTAGATTTGCTGGTGTCATGAAATACCAGTTTGAAGACTCTTGGTTCTAGAATGATATCTTAAGTTAGTTGTTAGGTGTGAAATATAGCCATCAGCTACCAAGGAAGATTTTCTTTCTCCAGAAATCTTTATTTTAGGACAGGGGTTGAGAAACATTTTTTATAAAGGCCAGATAGTAAATATTCTAGGGTTTGCAATCCACACAGTGTAGGTCTCAACTACTCAGTTCTGCCATTGTAGTGTGGAAGCAGCCAGAGACAATATGTAAGTGAATGAGTGTGGCTGTGTCTAATAAAACTTCATTTACCAAAACAGGCCATGGGCCATAGTTTGCCAGCCCCTGTTACAGGAGGGGTCATCTAGGTAAAACTAGTTGACTGTTAGATTTCTCCAAGAAAGGTGGGGAAGATAAGAATATTCCTTTCTCTTGATATTTCACTATAACTTTCATTCATTCGTTTGCTCCTTAGTTTGTTCCTTCCTTTGAATGTTTAGGGAGTTGTTGGCCACATGCCAGGTTCTTTGCTAGGTGCTGGATTTGTTTTGTGGCCTGGCAAGGCACCTAGCCTGTTTCTGACTTAGTTGTCCTAGCAGTATAAAATATAAACACTCACCTTTGTCATCATAGTCTATGAATATTCTATGAAACTCTCCAAATGTGGCACCTGTACAGAGAGGTCATTTAACCAGTGTTTTTCAGTATAGCTCTGCCAAGTTCTGGGTGTCCAAAGGTGAGCCACACATATGCACATTTGCACAGAGACCCCATCTAGTAGGGGAGACATGCGTGTAACCATTGATTATGTCCTTAGCTTAATGAAGACAGAGTGCATGGCCAGAGAACACCTGAGCCACCTCCTAGCTCACTTCCTTTGAGTAGGCAGTAGACCTGCGATGTTTCTGCTTGACATGAGACTTTTCTCTCCAGTAGGTCTGTGGAACTAAATGGATTCATGGCATTCAGGGATCAATATATGGGAATGTCTGTGCCTCCACACTATCAATATATACCGCACCTTTTTAGCTATTCTGCCCACTCTCCACTTCTGCCCCCACAAGCTCGCAGCCTGGATCCCCAGTCATATAGTCTGATTCATCAGCTGGTGTCAGCCGAGGACCTGGAGCCATTGGGCACGCCCATGTTGATTGAAGATGGGTGAGTGAGCCTTGGTCTTTTTAGCCCTGTAGCTTCAAAGTGGTCCCTACCCCACACCCATCTTCATCCCTGGCTGCTGTACCCCAGGCTTTGGAATGAGTTGGGGGATAATAAGCAATGACTCGAGCATCAGAGGACAAATCTTTGCTTATCGTTGAAGTTAGTGGTCCCTCATTTTTCTCTTGAGCATCTTTTCTCATAGAGTGGGGGCTATTAGTCAATCCCTATGGAGTTGGGATTAAAGGACTTTTGTTTCTAGTTGGGCCGAGGTACGCCAGTCTCTGGATGGGTCTGAGTGCTTCTGTGCCAGAGATGAGCTGTAATTCTGGGAATAATCATACATTAAGTTTAGGCTTCTTAACAGGGCACTCAAGGCACTAACTGGTTGTGGCCTGTCTGTATCCCTAGTCAACATACTCATCAGTAGCCTAGGGCCGTGTGCTCTGTGTGCAGGCCTGAGTGGGTGGAAGGAATACTCTTTCAATCCTGTCAGCTCTGCCTGAGTAGATAATAATTCAGCCCACCCATTGCTGTACTCATTATTCATTTAGCCTGGAGCATAGGCTGTTTGAGTGTTATTAAGCTTAGACCGCCCCCTCTGCTCCAAAAGGTATCCTGAGATTTCTTAAGCTAGTTTCCAATTTGAGAAGAGGAAATTCAAATGTCTGCCACAAGAAGGCCACCACCAAAACCTTTATAAATCTGATGTGGGGGTGTGGGGAAGAGTCATGACAGGGGCCTTGAGAGAAAGAAAACTGGGACCCTATCCCCTCCAGCCCAGAGATGAGAAATGCCCTGCTCCTTCCATCCCGCAGTAGCTTAGTTTCCTGAACTCGCACCACCAGGGGGTGCAATGAGAGCAAGAAGAGCTTCTGAACCTGTTCTCTTCTCTTTCAGCCATCTCGCCCCAAGGCTCATTTTTGTGCCATTCCCTGTATTGAGTAGGCACCAGATTCACCCTAATGGAGCTCTCATTTCCAAAACTGGTGCAAAAGTGACTGGGAATTTTCTTCTAACACACGGAGCATTAAAAGTCATGCTCCCTGATAATTGAACAAATTTCGAAGCCTCCTTTCCCCTTTGCAACCTTTTCTTAATCAAATCTGCTCCTCCAGCCCTGAGCTTACTACTGGCACCAGTCCTGTCCCTTTATCATTAAACTGAATTGAATGGAGCTGGAGATGCTTGGTCAAGGGCAAGGAGTTCACTGCCAGAGACCCTTTGTGCCCTTAGGAGTACTCTCTCCCTTTGCCCCCATCCTCACCATTCTGGCCACTAGAAGTAACTTTCTCCTGTTCCTACCCACCCCACCCCCCCCAGATATGCTGTGACTCAAGCAGAGCTATTTGCCCTGCTTTGCCGCCTGGCTGACGAGCTGCTTTTTAGGCAGATTGCCTGGATCAAGAAACTGCCTTTCTTCTGCGAGCTCTCAATCAAGGATTACACGTGCCTCCTGAGCTCTACGTGGCAGGAATTAATCCTGCTGTCCTCCCTCACTGTTTACAGCAAGCAGATCTTCGGGGAGCTGGCTGATGTCACCGCCAAGTACTCACCCTCTGATGAAGAACTACATAGGTGAGAGCTGCTGGCTGGGGAGAAAGTCTCAGGCAACCAAACCATTGTCACCTCTGCAAGGCAGGGCTGCCTGATACTCCAAAGGATGGGCATTAAAGCCGCACGTGGCTGGACTTGAATCTTCACTCTGCTGCTGACTAGCTTTGTAACTTTGGTCAAGTCTCTGATCCTCAGGTTCTGAATTTATAAAGTGGGGTAATGACAGTATCTCCCCAACAAGGTAGTTGTGAGGAATAAATGATAATGTGCAGCAAAGCTTAGCAAGTGCTAAGCTGTTATTTTGGTCACATCTAGATTACTGAGATAAGATAATGTATCTGGAAAGAACATTTCCTACAAGGTGAGGGGCTCTGAGCTGTAGTTTATAATCCAAGAAAAAGACTCAGGAATTATTGTGGTACCTACTGTGTGCCAAGCACTGGGCTTGGTATTTTACATTATTATCTTTCTTTGTCACAGTCTCCAGTACTGTAGGTGTTATGCCCATTTTATAGATGAGAAAACTGAAGTTCAGAGGGGCCTACCCTTGAGGGTTTTGGATTTGAACCTATGCCTGCCCAACTGAAAGTCTAGGCTCTTTCACTGGATCTCAGATGCAGTGAGATAAGAGAATGGGACTGAAATACTAAACTGTCCTCCTCAGTGCTTTCTGGCATAAAGTTTCATCGCAGCCAGCTAGGATCCTTCTAACCTCCCTGCCTAGAGCAGGTCTTTTACTCACTCACTTTGGAGACCTGGAGCACATGGTAACACCCCAAAATCAGGAAAAATGATCTCTTGATTCAATTTTTCTGACTTACTGATTTATCCATGTGAAACATGAAGTTTAAATTGCATTTAAAAGTCCTTTCAATAGTTCACCTTTATTAGACAGTTTAAAATAATGGAAGTCACGGGATTCCAGAGCACCAAGAGAGAGGGAAGAAAAGGTTCCTCCATCGAAGAAAGCTGGAGAAGGTAGAGTACCAGCCCCCAAACTTCTCTGCACAGGACTGAGGTGCATCTCCCTCTGCCACTTAATCACCATGGCATAAAGATAAGTTGAGACTTAGGCTGGGAGCGAAGCTCTAACACCTTCAAGGGCCCTTTGCACAGCTGAGGGAGGGAGGAGTCTGGGTACTTTCTCCCCCTGGTTTTCTAATATTTCCTTATTAATGATGCTTACAGGCTTGATGGTAATCTATAAATGACAGAGTTTTTAACCCAGATGACATTTTGTCCTTAAACAGAGCCGTCTGATTTTGCAGATAACCTAACCCCTTGTCTTGAGCCTCTAATTCATTGTTTCCATCAAATTCCTGTCTCCTGCTCTGTATCTCTGGGCTGACTGAGTGTTTGGATAGCAGTCAGCCTGCTCTAATATTGTCAGGGTTTGCAGAGCTGGCCCAGTGAGCCCGGCCTCCCTATTTGCCTGGAATCCTCCAGTGCAGCCTGAGGCTGCCTACAAAGTCAGCCTGTGGGCTCCCCTCTCTATAGGATGGTGAGTTTCCCCATGCCCTCTGCAGGTAGGCAAGGATCACTGGCCATGCAGGGTTCTCCGTGGCTTTAAGCTTCATGAAAGACACCCCATCCCACTGTTTCCAATCCCTTGAGCCCCGAGAGCAAGGCAGGGACCAGTAGCAGCTGAACTAGTGAGGGAAGTTTTATTTTCTAGGAAGGGTCCTTACCAAGGAGAATCTAGAGCTGCACTATCAAGTATAGTAGCTGCTAGCCTCAGGTGGCTATTTAAGTTACTTAAAATGAAAAATTCAGTTCCTCATTTACAGTAGCCACATTTCAAGTGCTCAGGAGCTACATGTGGCTAGTGGCTACTGTATTGGACAGTTGCAGATATATATATATATTTCCATCGTCACAGAAAGTTATATTGAACAGTGCTAACTCTGGAACACATGTTGCAGCTGAGCTTGCAAGTGGGTTCTGAGGATAAGAAGTAGATTCGTTGTTAGGACTCTCACTCCACTGTGGAATCCTTCAATGGAAATACAAGTTAAACTTCAACATGTTAGTTCAACATGCCCATTTATTGAGCACCTGTTGTGTGTGCCTGGAGGAGGGGTGTTGGGATAACAGATAATACAGACATGGTTTCTAAGGTGAGAGCCCGTATTCTTGGTTTAGGGGATTGGGGGGCAAATAGAAGCAGATTGAATCTACAGTTCAGGGTGATATTAGTGGAGATTGAGGGGCATATGAGGGACTGTGAAAGCATAGACTAAGGAGTGACTACCTCTACTTGCATAATCAGGGAATGGTTGCCAAAGAGGAAAAGACATTTGAGCTGCATCTTGAAGTGGCATTTTTCTAGGTAGATGTAGAGAATAAGAGGCAGGCAGGAGAATAACACAGAGTCCTAGAAGTTAGAGATTCTGGGTGGTTGGTTTGTGCAGATAACCAAAAAGCAATCCTGTGGATTAGGGTATAGAGAGAATATATCTGAGAGGCAGAGAAATTAGGGGAGAAATGACAGGAGAGAAAGGTACAAGAAAGACGAGAGTCATGAAGGTGCTCAATTGCTAATCAAAAAAACTCGGATTTTATTGTGTGAATAGTATTAAGTCATGGGACATTTTTAAGTAGAGCAATTACATGTCAAGTTTGCATTTTGGAAAGATCCCTGTGGCTGTAAAGTTCAGGATGGATTGCATAGACAAGGCTAGAAGACAGTGGCTGTGTAGGAAGCTGTTCCATAGCCCAGGTAAAAATAAGTCCTGGACAAGGCAGCAGTGACCATGGGAATAGAGAGGGCAGCACAGAGTTAAGAGATGACAGGGAGGTAAAGTCAGTGGGACCTCAGTGAGTGGAAAAGTTGGGGATACTGCCAGGCAGGTGGGCACCAATTCTCTTAGCCAAGATAATGGAGCCTGGGAAGACCAGGTTGAGAGATGAGCCACTCTGAGTTTGACTTGGGGTCTGTTGAGTCTGAGATGCATGTGGAACTGCCCAGGAGGCCAGAGGAAATGGAAGTACGAGAACCTTTGGAATCAGGTTCATCACTGTAAGGCTGTGGAGAGCATGGAGTCTGTAATTGGCCACAGCTCTTCCCTACCTTGCCTACTCTGGCATTACTCCCACTCCCACAAAATGCCTTTACTTTTTCACAACTGTTGAGTGCAAGCGAGTTCCTGCTGTCATGAAAGACTTTTCCCAGATGATACATGACCACCTCCTTTTCTCTTCTCAAATATTGAATCAAATTTATGGTGCCCATTTTCCTTAATCAGGCTGTTATCAGACAGTGAGCCGGGTGAATTTGATTTAAAGCAGATTGTAGCACCAGCCAGTGACTGCTCCTGGCCCTAATCAAGACTCCTTCACTCTTAGGAGAAGATGCCTTGCACTAGATGGGCTTTAATGGGCACTTCTATCTCGTGAACACTAGCTTCATTTCTTCCAGATCTCTGGAAAGTTGCCTCAGAGCTTCCCTGCTAAGACCCTAGCTGTAAGGTTCAGGAAACACAGCCTTTTCTTTTTGCTGTGATAACACGAGTGATGCTGCTGCTCCTGTTAATAATGATAGTAGCTAACAATTATAGACTGTTTATTGTGCCAAATTCCATCTTAAGTGCTTTGCAAACATTTGTTTAGTCCTCACCACTTCCCTAAGAGACTGTACTAATATTAACCCTGTTCCACACATGAGGAAGGAGCATGAGGTTCAGAGAGGTGAAAACTCAAGGCTCTAAAGCTAAAAGAGATGGAGTTGAGATTATCATCTAGATCTTTTGTGCTCTAAAGCCCAGATTCTTCACCATTACTAAATTTTTCAGCCTTCTCAAAAGTTTGACTTTCTGGAATGTGTCCTGGAGCTGCAGTCTTACTTTTCACCTTGGAGTCTATATGTGGGTGCTGAGATGGCAATTCCTCTAAGGATGTGGCTGATGACTGCTTCTGGGAGTAGATGCATTTAGATGAGTGAAAAAGAGACAACTGGGCCTTTCAGCCCCCTTAATGGGACATAACTTACACAGTGTCAGCTTCAATTGCTGACTGAATGGTCCAGTGGTTTGGGGGATCCTGGCAGGAATGTTTTCCTTGTCCTAACATGCTTGTGTAATGGTAACCTAGAAGAAGAATGGGTGTGTTTGTCCAACTTTCAGGCTTTGAATGTTGATAATTTGTAGACAGGGAATACAGGGGCGTTAGAACTGTGGAGTGGGCAGATGTGGAGGAGGCACGGCTGCAGGAGAAAGCAAGCCCATGGAACAGAGAACAATTTGTTTATCAAGGGGCGGGATGCGGGGTGTGGAGGAAATCTTTGCAGTCAGGCTGTGGAGACTGAGTGGGGGCTGCTGGGCTAGCTGCCAGGGGTCCATGCTGGTTGCCTATCCTAGGAAGCTTGGGAAAGAGGGTATGTGCTCTCCCCAAGAGAGAGGGCAGATCTGGGTCATATACTCAGGCCAGGCATGTGGGAGTTCCTTTGTGTCCCACAGGTCAAGACTCAACTGGGAATAGGTTTAGCATTGCTGTCTAGGGGTCTGGCTGGTAGCCACACACCTGCAGGTTCTGCAGAGCCAGAGTGAGCACTTGGGGCAAGAGGTTACTGATGAGGGGAGAGAGTGTTATCTTTACTTGCTATACTGCTCGGCCACCAGACAGATGCTGACACTGCTGCATCCTCCTTTTTTAAGCCCTACCCCATCCCATCTCTTCCCCACCCTTCCAAACAGATACTGATGGGCATTTTCATTAAAGACCTTTTCCCTCTCAAGAACAGAAGTAGCTGACAAAGTACTTTGATGAGGAGTGATCTTCACTCACAGGCATACTGCTTCCTGCAGGTCTCAGCACCATGGAGGCAGCGGAGGGGCAGTTCTATGCACTGCAGCGAGTCCGACACCCACTTTGGGTTGGGCCCTGAGCTGAGTTGCTCTGGGAGCACAGACCTCCTGAGGTATCCCCTGTGGTAGCATGTGGTAGCCTTTCCCAGTTGCCAGTTAAGAACAAGACAGTCAGGGAATGGACAGTGTAGTGCTGAGAAAGCAACAGATTTGGAATGAGAAAACTTGGGTTTAAACCTTGTCCCCACCACCACTAATTTGTTTTATTCACTTAGAACTTTGGAGAAGGCATCTCTTCTGCCTCCTCTTCCCTAACATGAAGGTGATATTACTTTTCTCACAGATTATCAGGAGGGTAAAATGTAAGAATACAATAACGGCACAGTAAATAACCTCTCTGAGCCTTTGTTTCCACAAGTGAACAAAGAGAATTATAGTATCATTTTTTGTGGATTTATTGGAAGTATCCAATGAAATGATGTATGTAAAATATTTAACAAAGGGCCTGGCAAGTAGCAAACACTCAACAAATGGTAGAATAATAGATATGGTTATTATAGTGGTTATTAAATGTAAGTGTGTCTATCAGCCAATCTAAGAACGTATTAATAAAGTTGTAAAAGCTACTGAGCCAGGAGCAGAGAGAAACATGGTAGTTCAAACTAGTAAACTGGGACCCAGAGGGTCAGGGCTCCGGATTGCAAGTAGCTGCTGCTGTGGCTCCCCCTGGTGCTTGAGAAGTACAGGTGCTGCTGGCCCCAACAGGAGCCAGTCTTTCCCCAGGGAAGAGAAAATGTCCTGCCTGGCCAGGAAGCCAAGCCCTTGCGAAGCCTTCACAGTCAACACAGAAAGCACTAGGACCCAGACAGCAGTAGTACATTCCCAGGAGTTCTGGACCCTACCCAGATAGGGGCTTCTTGCCTAGCATGGGGCTGTAGTACCCTGATCTGAACAAGTCACCAGGAAGCAACTCTGAGGCTAAGCATCTCTCTGTGACTCAGCTGCATCAGAGGCCTGTCTGGAACACCTAGAAGAGTGGATGCTGGGCCTGACCCCAGCTTTTATAAACTATTTCCCCACTAAGCCTTTGCCTCCTTGGTTTGGGAGTTTCTCCATTTCTGGTATAAGATATTACCCACTGTGGCACAGAGTATTAGTCCCCCAGCCTAGGGCTCCTTTGCCTAAAACTTGGTGTTTCCCCAAGGAATTAACTCCTAATCCAAAGAAAACAGCATGGGGGCTTCCCTGGTGGCACAGTGGTTAAGAATCCACCTGCCAGTGCAGGGGACATGGGTTCGAGCCCTGGTCTGGGAAGATCCCACATGCCGCTGAGCAACTAAGCCCACGCGCCACAACTACTGAGCCTGTGCTCTAGAGCCCGCGAGCCACAACTACTGAGCCTGTGCTCTAGAGCCCGCGAGCCACAACTACTGAGCCTGTGCTCTAGAGCCCGCGAGCCACAACTACTGAGCCTGTGCTCTAGAGCCCGCGAGCCACAACTACTGAGCCTGTGCTCTAGAGCCCGCGAGCCACAACTACTGAGCCTGTGCTCTAGAGCCCGCGAGCCACAACTACTGAGCCTGTGCTCTAGAGCCCGCGAGCCACAACTACTGAGCCTGTGCTCTAGAGCCCGCGAGCCACAACTACTGAGCCCATGTGCCACAACTACTGAAGACCGCGCTCCTAGAGCCTGAGCTCCGCAACAAGAGAAGCCACCACAATGAGAAGCCTGTGCACTGCAACTAGAGAAAGCCCGCGTGCAGCAACAAGGACCCAATGCAGCCAAAAATAAATAAAATTAAAATAAATTAAAAAAAAAAAGAACACTCCTGAAAGAAAAAACATTAAAAAAAAAAAAAAAAGCAGCATGTTCAGCATTGAGTCTTCCCTGCTAATGGATGCCACCTCAGATATTGAGAAAATCAAGGCCTTAGGGAGTTAGCCCAGATTCGGTTCTAGCTCTGCTACCAACTAGCTGTGTGCTTGTGGACCAGTCCCTTCTATTCTTTGAACTTCAGTTTCTCATCTGTACAATGGTGATTATAATCTCACCTAGCACGTAGGGCTGAGAAAACTAAATGAGATAATGCACATAAAGTGCCCAGCACAGAAACTGGCATGACATGGAGGCTCAATTTATGTTTCCCTCCCTCCCTCTCTAGCTGAAGTCAGGGATACCAGTAGAAATGTTCACTGTGCATAACCTCAGCCATGCTGGAAACAGTGAACTTAAATACAATCAGCAGCTTTTTCTTCATTTTGGCAGTAGCTCACATAGAGTCACCATGGTAGCTGCCATTGTTACTACAGGCTGCATCGCAACAACAGCAGTATCTTAACGATGTCATACTTCTCTGCATTTACATCCCAACCCCCCATGACCCTTGTTACCCCAAGCAGGCAAGCATTATTTTACAGAGGAGGTCCTCAAAGCTTAGAGAGGTCAGAGGACTTTCCCAAGGTCTCATAGCTTGTATGTGATGGAGCTGGATTTGAACTTAGATTTGATTGACCCCAACCGACCTTGGGAAGAGCAGCTCGTATGAGCTGCCTTGGCCTCTAGACAAACCATGGATTCACCTGTCTTTACAAATGTGTCTGGATTCCATTTCCCCCAAGCTCAACCTCTTTCCTATCTTAGCTGCCTTAAGGAGCTGTAGGTGACTTCTTTCTCCCTTCCATTACCTCCACTGGTAATCAGAGCCCATTATTAACACCGGTGTCTGTTCCCCAGATTTAGTGATGAAGGGATGGAGGTGATTGAGCGGCTCATCTACCTGTATCACAAGTTCCATCAGCTAAAAGTGAGCAATGAGGAGTATGCTTGCATGAAAGCAATTAACTTCCTAAATCAAGGTGAGTAACTGGGGGTGGGAAGAAAAGACTTTTTTTTTGTCAGTGAATATTTGCCCTTTTGCCTTCATGTTTCACCCCTACCCCCTTTACCCTCAGGACTGTCACACAATCTGTCACACCATGTGGGTACCGATCTTGGAAGTCCTGTGCTGCCCTCATCATCATTCTGCCCCACTATAGCGCAGAGCATGGTTTGGATTTTTTTTCTTCAAACCTAAATGCCACAGCCTCTATAACTCATAGAGGAAGGAAGAGGATTTGCTTTGTTTAGTCAGTTTTAATGCATTTAAACACAGACATCAAGGACAGTACATGCGTCATTTAAAATATGCACCAAGTTTACCAGCGACTGAAGAAGAGCAGAGTGACTGATGAAACTACTGGAGATAAGGGATCTGTGACAGGCTGACGGGCCCCTTCAGGGCAGAGCGGGGGTGCACAAAACTCACACACCCATAGAAGAGTGGTGGGTATGATTTACATGGAGTATTACCTGCAGAGAGGCGCTTGGTAGCTGCTGGTAAGCAGAGTATGCAAGGAGAATTTGTGTTCCCTTTCTTCCAGAGTAGCGTATGAGTACTCTACTCTCAGAGTGGGGCTGGGCTGTTTTGCTGCCTACGACATTGAAAATGTTGTGTTCCTGTATTCAGTTTCCTAGTCCAGAGACTCTTGATCCCCTCCTCTTTGCCCACTCCTCCCTCAGTACTGACCTCTTCCTCTTGCTTCTGCACCTTTCATGCATTTATCTGGTGTTCTGTGTGCCTCCCTTGGGCCAGGCCCTGTGTTGAGCATTAAAGACACTGAAATAAATTAGATCCCAGGTTCCTGGCCTCAAGAAGTATACATTCTGATGGCACTTGTTACATTGCTTGAGCCTCAGATGGGGGGAGATCAGTAACAACTACTTGGAGGACCAGAAATCTGAGATCTGGGCCTCAAAGGCTGGGTAAGATTTATATATAGAACATTTATATTCTATATATGAAAAAGGGGGATTGTGTGTGTTTGTACGTGTATATGAACACACTATATTATATATATATATATATATAGAGAGAGAGAGAGAGAGAGAGAGAGAATGAGAGAGACGTCTACGGGCATACCTTGGAGATATTGCAGGTTTGGTTCCAGACCAGCACAATAAAGTGAATATTGCAATAGAGTGAGTCACATGAATTTTTTGGTTTCCCAGTGCTTGTGAAAGTTATGTTTATACTATACTCTGATCTCTTAAGTGTGCAGTAGCATTATGTCTTAAAAAAGAGTACATACCTCAAAAAAATATTGCTATAAAATGCTAACCATCATTGAGCCTTCAGCGAGTTGTAATCTTTTTGCTGGTGGAGGGTCTTGCCTCAGTGTTGTTTTTGTTTGTTTGTTTTAATTTATTTTTTAAATTTATTTTTGGCTGCATTGGGTCTTCGTTGTTGCATGTGGGCTTTCTTAGTTGCGGCGAGCGGGGGCTACTCTTCGTTGAGGTGGGCAAGTTTCTCATTGCGGTGGTTTCTCTTGTTGCCGAGCACGGGCTCTAGGCACTTGGGCTTCAGTAGTTGTGGCACACAGGCTCAGTAGTTGTGGCTCGCGGGCTCTAGAGCACAGGCTCAGTAGTTGTGGTGCACGGGCTCAGTTGCTCTGCCGCTTGTGGGATCCTCCCGGACCAGGGCTCGAACCCGTGTCCCCTGCATTGGCAGGCGGATTCTCAACCACTGCGCCACCAGGAAGCCCTTGCCTCAGTGTTGATGCTGCTGACTGATCAAGGTGGTGGTTGCTGAAGGTTGGGGTGGCTGTGGCAATTTCTTAAAATAAGACCACAGTGACATTTGCCACGTCAATTGACTTTTTCTTTGATGAACGAACTTTCTGTAGCATGCAATGCTGTTTGAACATTTTACCCACAGTAGAACTTCTTCCAAATTTAGAGTCAGTTCTCTCCAGCCCTGCTGCTGCTTTATCAACTAAGTTTATGTAATATTCTAAATCTTTTGTTGTTATTTCAGCGGTCTTCACA